ATAATTTATATACACATACATTTTACAGATCGACAATTAACATATGAGTGACCAATCAATAAATGATATTTGAAGAGACTATAAATAGATATTGAAATAAAACACGTGTGCATTGTAATATCTAAAACCTAGAACTACCTATGTATTAATTAGTTAACACATGTCTAAAATATTTCTTCTATAAATTTTATTAAAAAGTTTTCTTTAATAATATATCATTTAAAATTTTGCTCTTTCATTAACAAAATAACAAATAATAATAATATATGAAAATGACATTTTATCTCTTTTATAGAGAATGTTGGCGTTTTTTTATTAAAAAAAAAAACGCAAGACACAAAATACTGCCTCTGTACGTTAATGCATTTCCAGTACAAGTAATAGCAATATTTTACATGACTTATGCAGTATCAGAACCAGTTCTTGCAAAATAACTTCAGTACCGAAACAGTAATGTATTACCACTTTACCAGTACCAGTACCAGTAATATAAGTGCGGTACTTGTAAAATAACTGCAGTACCAATTTCATTTTCTTAGACAGAAATGCAGTACCAGTAATTGAAAAAAAGTCAGTTTATTAAAGAATACTTACAATAAAAGAAGAGCTTTATAGAACTTTTATCGTAATAAATTTCACGAGGCTTACAAAAACACTTGATAGCTCAACTTATAATAAATTTTACTAGCGGTATTTATTTATTTTTGGAAACGTGATCCTTAAGGGTTGTCAAACACCGCGCAGTTGTATTTAAATATGCTGCAGCCTCGGTTTTAATGAACAAGAAATCTCAATAGCCATAAATTCACGTTAACTTTGTCTGGTATTTGAAGGCCCATTATTCCTCATAATCACGGGGGGAGGGGGAGTTACGTGACTTTGTATAGTAATACACACGAGTAATGGAGCCTCTTAAGTTCATCATTTTAATACATTTTGTTGAGAAACGTTTCCTTTATCCAAACTAGACATGGCCTATCATATACACGGTTACTTTCTTCAAATATCAATGCCAAGTACATTGTCCTCATTGTCCTACGTTTCATGTTTTCCAAGTTGTGTGAAAATTGCAAATGCAGCTTTAGTAATCCACACGAGACGGTATAATTTTGTACCAAAAATGAATGGAAAAAGCTTTCTTCCTTCACTAAAAACACACACAAAACTTACTTGTTTCTTTTACTATACAAAGGCACGGATTGCCTCCCCCCAGTGATAATGTGTTTTTAAATAATGTTAAATTTATAAAATTATAAAAGCTACAAACTAATTTCACCTTACACATAATGCTTTCATCCGATGCTTTATGCATATTATCATACTCTACTCACAGTCTTGTATCATAAATTTGTGATATTGAACTTTCTGTATTTAACTTACCGTATAATAATTGACCCGTGTCATGACAAAACTAATATAATGGGTTTGCGACCAGCATGGATCCAGACCAGCCTGCGCATCCGCGCAGACTGATCAGGATCCATGCTATTCGCTTATCAACTCTATTGCAAGAAGAGAAACTGACAGCGAACAGCATGGATCCTGATCAGACTGCGTGGATGCGCAGGCTGGTCTTGATCCATGCTGGTCGCAAATCCATTATTCCCTGCGGTCTTGAGACCGCAGGGTATTGGTACGCGTTTAACTTTTGAGGCATGGAGGAGCACGTGACCTGTTTTCGGTACATGGAGGAGCATGTGATCTGTAAACCGTATATGATTGGTTAATTGACCTTTTCGGAAACCCAGCTAAATACCGTTTGCCGGTACGTTACGGATTTACCTGTAGGGAATTAGTCCGAATCATACCTAATTGACAGCAAAACACTATTACGTGATACTTCTAATTTTCTATAATTATTTTACCGTTTAAGGTGGAAAAACTTGAATGATGTGTTTGAAAATTATCAATATTTCTTTAATATCTATCTCAAATTTTACAAACAATAAATTGTTTAAACTGAAAATCTACAAAATTAAAATATTCGTATTAGCATCTGCCATAATAAATAGAGACATTTTCTGCGTAAACTTGTGTGTTTACTTTATTCATTTTTTGCTCGGAATTATTCATAAAATGGTAGGCATATTTAATCATTTTCTTAAAAAGAAATAATCGTTTTATGTTCGACCTTCTCCGGTCTTCAACGATCACCAGTTTCCAAAGACCTTCTTCTTTATTGATCGATTATTGTCAACTATATTCTTGATATAAACGTTTATTCATCCCCCCCAAATAATGGTGAAAATAGTTAAATGAAATATCTTTATATCATTAAAATGTTCACCGCAGGAAACCATTTTACTTGTGTTGGTTTTGTCATGACACGGCTCATATATGTGTTTACCTATTTCAGGACTAAGTTATCATTTGAAATGTCCATGGAATTTGAAGAGAATTTTGATTGGTGTACTAGCGATATGTTTACTTCTGATAATAACATTTTGGTCGGTGAGTATGTCAACATTTTATTTCTCATAAATGTTGTTGTTGTTGTTTTTTAATTATTTTACCAGCTTTCCTATTCCCAATTATATATGTACTTCATTTTTCTATGCATATAATAAACATAATCTTGGCTGAAAATAGAAACCATTTAATTAAGCTATATGGCATTTTATTCATTGGTTGATAATTTCTACATCACAACCACAGGCGGCAGTATCAGTGATTGGACACCCTACCCCTATCTGCCCCTGGACCCCTACTACAACCCTGAAAAAAAATAATTCAACACTCTAAGGCTTACTATAAGGTACCAAATACAAAACCACCGATGAAATTATATATAAAAAAAAAATTTTCCACTATCAAAATTATAGTTATAGAAAGGTGAAAAGCCTACTATATGTTCATTTGCCAAACAATGTGGAACACGGTAAATCGTCGTTTCGGTGACTGAGGCGCATTCCGGCAGGATTTCGCTGCATCATTCATTAACATTTATACATTACATTATTTTTTTTTTTTTAATTTTATCGGTGGTTTTGTATTTGGTACCTTATAGTAAGCCTTCGAGTGTTGAATTATTTTTTTCAGGGTTGTAGTAGGGGTCCAGGGGCAGATAGGGGTAGGGTGTCCAAACACTGATACTGCCACCTGTGAACACAACCCCATCGATTTTCTCCCTGATCGTATATTCATATCGATGTTTTTAAACATATTCTAACTAAAAGCGTATTGTTTGTGATCTAGAAATTACGGTGGCTGATTCACGCCATGTCGTATTTTCGCCTTTTTCGCCGTGCAGCGACAATACATCTTCACATTTCCGTATTTCTGCATTTTTCGCGAAGAAAAGCGAAAGAACGACACGGCGTTTATCAGCCACACAAAAAAAATGTGAAAAATATCACAGAAAGAGCCCCTCTTTTTGCAAGACTGTGTCAATTTATGTTTTTTAAAAGTGATATTCATACTTCATGTTGTTCATTTAAAAGTAGCTATTACGTATATTATTAGTGACATGTTATATAGCCCTATATAAACGGCTGTTTGTAAATATAACCCGAGCCGCTAGACGATGGTTTTATTGCAAACAGCCGTTTATATACGGCCATATAACCTGTCAACAATCTTTATAACGAATTAATAATACAGCAAGCATCATTTTTTGGAGGAAAATAAAAGATTTCTTCATAAATCGACAGCAGCCGTGTGAATAAACTATATAAACGTCACGATTATCCAATGAAAAGCGACGTTACAAACATGCAGTATTATAAGAGGTGTTAACAACCACAAGCAATGCCGTGCAGAATTCATAAATGCTGTATTTGTTATTATTTTGACATTTTAAAGATTGGTATTGTATTGTTAAGTCCTGTTAATATAGTATTGATTTTTTTTGTAAAGTAATGATATGTATATTTTTTTATTTATTTTTGTTGGTCAAACATATACTTTCATTTAACACACCAAATAATTCAAATATTTGACCTGCTGAATTAGTATAATAGACTCGTCTAACTTCAAGTTTTGGAACTGTCCATTATCAATTTTCCTTACCGTCTGACTAGTCTTTATCCTATTGCCTGACCAATTTCATCTTTTTTTTTCATCTTGCTAATCCCAAAATTGATAATGAACGATTCCCAAAATGTAATCTGGACAAGTCCATTTAAGAAATTAGGCAGTTTAAGGTAAAAATCAAAACTACAGAAAAAAATTGTATAATCAAGCATTTCCCTGCTTTAACAAAAATAAAATGTACTGTTATCGGATGATATAAAAATGTCTGTCAATATGACCATATTTGGTCATTATGTAATCGAGAATGCATACAATGTCATGGTAACCATACGCAAGGGACAACAACGTTTATTTAAAGGTCAATAGATAGGAGCTTAATTTCATAAATTATGCATGGATATATGATATATATCACCAGCTAACATATTGTAATGTTCACTTAACAAAATGTTGATACATTCTATACAAAATAGGTTATGTATACGATACTAAATAACTTTGAAGTTACGGTTATAAATATATAGTTTGAAAAGTAATGTTAATTGTACAAAAGATGATGTAGGCCAGTCTTTCATACTAACTTCTTATGGATATTTTGTAGAGAATGTCAAAGTAGTAAAAAAAAAGTCCAATATCTGTGATAATCGGGGTAAAAATGTGGTAATAAAGTACAATTAACCTACTTTATATATTCATTAATTCCTGACCATTGTTCATGAATTTTTTACCATTGATGTGTAAAATATCCATCAAATTTGACATGCGAGTGTTAAGTATTCATGTTTTTCTTAACATTTGAATGCCCGAATTCTAGACTGCAATGTCATTCATGTTCTAAACATTTTCGAGAAATGTGAAAATCATTTAAACTTACGGCCCAAATGAAACAAACAACTTCTTTTATAGATTTTACTGTATTTATATTATTATACTTGCACCTAATTACATTTGAGCCGCGTCACGACAAAACCAACATAGTGCGTTTGCGACCAGCATGTATCCAGACCAGCCTGCGCATTCGTGCGTTTATAGAAACTTTACATTAAAATATAAAGAGGGGTATGACGAGTCCTTTCAGGGATGTATGTATTGTGACTATTCAAAAGGCCCATTTTTGACATCGACTAAATACATTAAAAGAAATTCATTTCAAGATTTAAATGAAGACGGAGGCTTGTACGAGGATTGGTTCTTAAGAGTTTATCAAAAAGGTGAGGAAGGAATAGTTTGTCCTGATTCTATGTTTGACACAAATCCCCGTCCGGTGTCAAGTGTAAGCTGGAATTCATTTTTCGATATTTGGAACTTATTTCAAATACGAATACCTGGTGGAATAACAATTAGTAAAAGGTGTGGCAAAAAAGAAAGCTCATCTTCCCCATCCAAAGCTATGTCACTTTGCAAGTATTTAGACACAACAGAAGCAGTTAAAGTTGTAATGAGATCATGCGAGGAAGTTGGTATTATTTGCGAGCTTCAGGAAGGAACTACATTAGGTGCTGTAAAAATGGAGAAAACAATTCCTTGGGATATTGACTATGACCTTAGATTTATAACAAATAATTGTTCATTATGTAAGAAACTTGCAGATGAGTTTAAAAACAATGGTATGTCTTATGGAGATTTTGTGACGCCTTGTTGCACTAAGGTTCTTAAACTAGGTGAAATTAATTACGTAGGTGTTGGATATAAAAGGGCCGGCGGCGACATATCTGGACACCCTACTCTTGACACAGAAATATACTCTAAAATGGGTTTCAAGCCAACGAAGATCTTTTTTGATGGTGAATGGTTAAATGTGCCTAGGAACCCTGGATTTATTTTGAGAAATAGATACGGACTAGAACTGTTTCAACATGCGGAACATTAGAGGTTTACTGATGGTAACGAGGCGGATCCTAGATTAACCTATAAGGCATTTAGTTTTTCACCATGTAGTACTCCTGGTCGACATGAATGTTTAGATAGATATAACCCTGATGGAAATATTCAGTTTAAGGGTTTGTTACCCTAATGTAGTTATGTTATAGACAGTGCGTGATCTCCACATGACTTTGGCCTTAATGTAATAATTATTTTAAATGTCAGAATATATTTGGAAACTATTTTAGTGGAATAAAAATAAAAATTATTGAAGAATAGTTTCATGTAGTAATTTAAAAAATTATGTTCAACTTCAGAATACTTTTACAAACCTTTTATGCGAATGAAATAAAATTATTAAAGAATAGGTCCATATAGAAATTTACCATTTAGTAGTTTAATAATTACGTTAATGTTTCAGAATATTTTTTGAAAACCATGTAAGTGGAATGAAATAAAAAATATTGAAGTAAATGTGCATTTAATAATTTCATACTAGTAATTATATTAAATTTTCAGAATATTTTTGGAACCCTTTTGAGTGGAATGGAATAAAAAACTATTAAATAATAAGTGCATTTAGTAATGTTATACCTTTTTGTTATATCTGTTTGTTAGGTTTTTTTATTATAATATCTTCGAATTTTATAAGAGTTAAATAAATATGTGCGACAATCTAGAGATTTTTTTACAATATGTACCTGAAATTATACAGTAATTTAAAAAAATGAACCTTCTTAGTTAGACTCACATGACCTATTGTTTTTAATATGCAAATGAGAGCGAAATAAATCATTTTCGTATCATTTTATTAGAATACTGAACCTCAGGAAAATTAGAAGTTAATTTTCCTTTCATTTGAAAAATGGTATTCTAAATAATGTCAACATACCTGGATGTGTTTAACATAAAATGTGTTCTAAAATCATGTAATTTTGATGAAGAAAATGGTATTTTTATAGACATTTTGTGATTGTGTTCAAGTTAATTCATAAGAGGATTTTTTTTGCAACTTGCATTACGTATGTTTGTAAGGTCAAAACATGTATAATTATGTTATATATTTGTATGTTTTATTGACATGTTGTTGGTCAAAGAAGTTTTTTAAAATTACATGTACATAAAACAGTTGTCTTATGTTTTGTTGTTGCTCTTTTTTTTATTTTATTAGGAATGTTAATGATTTTTTTGTTTGGGTATATATAACATCATTATAGTATGCGGAACTACGGCAACAAGTAGCAAAAAAAGGAGAAAAATCATATCACAAAATACCGTACAATAGGTAGATACTTTAAAGGAACTCCACTGAGGTCCAAAAATCTAAAAATATAGATTTAAATTTCTTGCATAGATCAGCTCGGACACTTAAAACAAAACGATATGCAAATGATAATTAAGAAATATACTAAAATTTGCGCTATTCTTAGACTAACTTGAGTGAAAAGGATTGTAATGTTATTAAATTTTGGGTCATTTTTCACAATTAGAATACTTATTCAGGAAAAATAAACGCGTCTGAAATTTTTGCACACGACTTCTTGGTTTAGACCTACATCAAATGGATTATTAATCTCGAAAACATATTTCAAGTCCTGTCATATCAAAATATTTCAGTGGAGCCCCTTTAATTTGAAACACTTGAAACATAAGCCCACGGATATATGAGAAATATCACCGTTCCTTGTATTATTAAATATGGCTGACATTGTCACACAGTTGAGCAAACATTTTCATCATTTCATTGAGGGGCTCATGTGGTGTTACTTTACCAGTATACATGTATCTGGAAAGTCGTCATATGACTTTAACAGTGCAGTGGCCACTTAAAACCCAACCAAAATATGTAATTAGGTGTACCAAATTTTGAGGAGAAAAAAAAAACTGTAAAATTTATAGTACGTTTAAATGATCGAAAAATAGTCTTGTTATTTATTTTTCTTATGTTTATTTCGTCTAACAATCGACCATATGAATTAAATTAGAACTACTGTTAGGGAATGTATAATGTATGATTTTGCAACGTCTTAATCTTTACACACATGTATTGACATAGTCTTCTTTACAAAACACAATTGTACTGAAAAATGAACGATGATATTGGGCGAAAATAAAGTACTTTCATTACACTTGGCCCTGCGATATATTTTCTCATTCATAATTTTTAAAGCGATTTTTCAATATGTCAATATGGTTTCTTTTTATATTAAGATAAATGATTCACAGGGAATAAAAGAAGTCATAAAGGATAAAATCAGAGTATTGAGATCATGTGGCGACATTCGTGGCCGACCTGGTTCATTATTCAGGATATAAACACTCAGTCTCTAATTTCTTTAGCTTTCAAAGGCAGGTATTCAGAAAAGAAACAGTCAATTCATAACCACCGAGCCGTTTATAATTTTCGCTTTTTAAAGGTATTAAGATGTATAACTGATTCATATGACACTTATATTCTTCACACAAATACAAAAAAAAATATAACGAAAGTTTACAGGGTTTTTTTAAATGATGATTTATGTTAAATTTCTATCATCAGTTATAAAGAACAACGACAAAAAATATGTTTTCATCAGTTTAAGTTAAGTTTTACTTATTTCGTCATAATCTAACTAAGTGGTAAGAAACAACCAATGCATTGTTTTGAAATAAAGACAAACTGAAGAAAAGTATATCTGAAAAAAATGAGGTTAATTGAAACAGGTATTTTTCAGAAAGGGGTGGGTTCAGAAAACCGGGCATTTTTCACCTTTCAATGGGGCAACACTATATCTTCATATAATAATTTTTTAGATATAAATTTGAACATTTGTGCCAAAAATTAAGTAGGTTAACCATCTAAATTTGGAAATATTATTGTTTAAGTTGTAAAACTATTATATTTTCACTCATTAAACATTAAAATGTACATGTAAATTTGCTTATGTTTCTTAATTCAAGATTTAAAAATAATAATAATAAAATACCCCATAATTTTACCAGATATAAAGAATAAAAACTTTACAGACAAAATGGAGAAAAATGGCGCTAGTATCGCTTGAACCCACGCCCGACGTAAACTTAGTACATTCACTTTTCAGAAAGGAGGTTCTGCAACAGGTATCTTATACCTTAATCTTTCATGATATCGTCTCGAGGAAATACAACCTTATTCTATGGAAACAAAAAACAAAAACATTCTATGCACATTTTGACCTCTTTATAGTAATTTACCTAGGTTGTAAGTGCCATTGATAATGTGTTAATTGCTTTCTTTTGGTAACTTTACTATAATATAATGTTAAATATATTCAAATTTTCAAGAAAATTAACATGAATCTGGAGGTGTGCTGCTTTAAGCTTGATTTTATGTTGTAAATCCAATTATTAATTTTTGGAAACATTTAACTTTAATATTTACCTTGTATATTGTTCTTTATGGACATTATCTGGTTCATTTTTGCATTCTGCAAATGAAGGTATGATGGGGAGATTGTTCCATAGCAAAGAAGGGGCGCTATTAGCACAGATATATAATACAGAGTAACAGGAAGTGAAATATATGACATCTTGTAGAGCTTATAAGCAGTGAAGTTGGGTGAAGGAACTTCAACTAGTTCTTTGACATACGCGATACATTAATGTTACCTTTACATGGGCTCTGTGTTTTTTGAGAAGTTGGTCGCTGTTATTGCTCCAACATCGTCACTCTGCTAATCCCTCTGCAGCACGAAAAGACAATTTTATCACTTTGACAATGCTCCATCTCCAGTTTCCAGACCTTTGCGTCAGTGAATGCTTCCCGGACGATGGAGGAATAATCCACGGGAGGCCTCACCAGGGTTACAAAGCAGAGGTCTTCCTCCTTCTGGTAAGCATGTACCGATGATTTTCTGGTCTAGCTAGAGAATATTCTAGCCTACAGTCTTTAGAATTGATGGAGCGCTTGGTCATTATCCATTCTGATTTTGAAATCATTGAATTAAAGGTAAAGATACCGAGGCCATTGACGTGCGAACAATAACTTGAGAATTATTTGACCTTAATTTCTACAGTGTTTATTTAGTGTCACTCATTATTTTTATTTAACACACATGGCGTATAATCAAACAAAGGCAGATTCACATCCCCAACGTTTATTCATTGTGGTAGTAAAGTATGATTTTTATTTGGTTTCTATTATATTTGTATTTTATTTGTAAAATTGTTTGCCAATGAGCTGAAATGTGAAGATATTTTCACATGTGTTAAGTACATGTATATTCGAAATTTATGAAACAAACCTAAGCCGTTCTTATTATTCTATTCTATTTGATAGCAATCATTCCGCGTTACAGTGATATGAATGACATCTCGTCGATTTACTCCGCGTTGGGCGCTGTAATTACATTCAAGTATCATGTGACATAATGTTTTCAAATGACTGGCTTGAGATTGTTGATTAACACTGATCAACATTCTATGATGTCACAGAGCATAGATTGCAGATAACCATTAGCAAAATTGTATATTTATGATATAACTTTGTCCAATTTCGCCGGTAGTCGTGAAGAACGCATTAACACTGCCTCCCTCGCTTTGTTTATATTTTCAATCTATTTAACATGATGATAATCATCGCTAAGTTTTTATGTATATTTTTTTACTTTATTTGCTCTCTCCTGTCAGGCATTGTCTTTCTGTTGATCCTTTCTGTCTTTCATGACATCTCTAGCTTATATACCGTGCTATTAAGATAATAGCATGTGTGGCGCCGTTATAATTATGTCGCAACGCCGCTAATTGTCGTACTTACCGCTAAATGTCGCACTATTAACGCTAAATATCGCAACCGCCGCTAAATATCGCAAAATCGTCTGCCGTTAAATGTCGCAATGGTAACGTTGAATGTCGCACGATTTTCCCTTTCCTGTCCAATCCTTAATTACCGTTTTCATCTATAAAAGGATTTTGAAATGATATATCACACATGTTTATCATAATAGGACCAATTGTCATACACAACACTCAGAATCCTACTTCCAAGGTCAAGGTCACACTGAAAGGTCAAAACTTAAAGTGGTCTGTTATAATGCCTTTTTGTGTCAGATCCACAACTTTTTCACCCATCAAAGTATTTTGAAATAAGTTTGCACAATATTCACCAATGAGTCATGCACGACACTCCGACCTCTCACAAGGTTAAGGTCACACTCAGAGATCAAAGCTAAACATGTTCTGTATTTTCCTTGTCCAGAGAAAATCTCCGAAAGTATTAGAGATTCCAATGAAAGTTAAAATATGCACTGTAACTCCATTTTGAATATATTTTAATTGTTTCCCTGTATATTCTTATTTTTAGTGACACAAACTCCTCAAATGTATTTCTATTGACACATACACAGGAGTTATTTCATTATATTTCTATGATGAATTTATTGTTGTCTGTGCATTTACTGAAACTCAAACTGTCAAAATCATACTATTGCGTGCTTAATGTAAAACTTCCTTTAGGCGGGACACTTGGTAACGCTGTTTCGAGATCTTGGAATTATAGGTATTATACTATAGGTCCTATAATATTGTTACAATCAGATTATAGTTTTATAAATTCCATTGATGCAAAAATCTGATTAGTCTTGGGCTTTTTTCTTTCTTTCATTTTTTTCATTACCGGTAAAAATGTGTTTTGCAATAAATTATTATTGTATCATGGTTTGGGGACCTTTCTGTTGAAAATGTGTCAGAGTTAAATCGTATACATATACATGCACAGTGCGTTAACTGGAGTGCAGATATAGGTTACCAGCACTCCAGAGCATGCCCATTGATTGGCTCATTTTTGCTAGGTTTTACTTATTGTGACGACAGAGAAAGGGAAAGCGATAGAAATATCATATGCAGATGTTCGTTGATTGGTTTCTTTTTTCTGATGTTTCATATTATGACATTAGGGAACGTGTTGTTATGTTTGACTATAATACAAAAGAGAAAGATCATCAAAACACTCGGCAATCTGGTTTATACTCGGGGGGGGGGGGGGGGGGGCTACCCCCCTCGTACAAATCAGATAGCATCGTGTTTCGGTGCTCTTTCTATTACTTATATTTATCTTTTAATATAAGGATTGACATACAGTGAGTTCTTTCATTAAATATGTATATATAATATAACATCAATT